TCTTGACGGCACGGTAGGATCCCGCGCGGGGTGAGGGACTGCTGCCTGTATCTGGGCAGCTCGCTTGAGTTGCCGTTGCTCAGTAGCATCCAGCTGCTTAAAAAGCAAGTTTCCGGACACAAATCCAACAAAAAAGAGCCGCTGCCTTTCTCTCTCCTGTTGCAGTGCACCACATCTAGCTAGCTTCATGCACGTAATCCGCTGTCTGTCTGAGAATCGCAGGCGACCGTACACAAGCAACAAGAAGAACTCTGCTATGCGGTCATACTTGGAACGCTTTACATTGTGAACTGCTCTAGTTTGTGCAAGAACCGTGAACTGGGAATTTCTAGGCCGGGCCCTCGAAGCATCTGGTCAGGACTTCATGAGCTGGAAAACACATCTTTCCCATGTCGCCCCAGAATCTGGCATACCGTAGCAAAGGTCCAGCTCGGTCATGCAAGTTAGAGTTGGCCATGCCAGCTAATGATAGCTAATGCATCAGTAAGCCTTTCCACAATCCCTCCAGTTGCAAAGCGCAGTTCCTACTTGCCATAGTCTGTTTGGCAAATTCCCAGGCGTGAGTGTGTGCCATTTCACCGGAGGTGACAATCACTTTATTTTTCAATCACAAAATTTCGAGAACCTCGTTTGGTTTTGAAATAGTGCTTTCCGAAGGTTTTTCTCATGTTTGATTTTACCTTGGATGTTTCCTCACACCTAAATATCCAGCAGATATTCTGGCTTTAAGTGCTGGGAGAAACTTTTGAGATGCGAGTCCGCAACGAGTGCAGGTTCGAGGCCCACTGACAGCTACGGTGGGTGATTTGCCCTGGCTGTTCAATGATTGGATTGGAAGATTATTATATTCTTACATCTTGAAAGCTTTGTGCACGGTTTGTGTTTAGAAGCATAAGACCCACTTCTTCACCGTGCACTGATGGTCACAAGAAGCAGTACACAGCCTTATAGCCTCGTCGCGAGCATTCAGACGTCGAATGCCTGCTTACCGAAAGCACTCGGTGGCCACATCAGTTAGATTCTGGTCAGACTGCGTGCGAGCTGGGGCACGACCGTCCGTGTTTCCACGGGCACGGGTGGCATGATGCTGCTCCAGCAGCTGGACTGGCCATGGCACATCAAGCTTTCAGCAAACTCTAAGTCACGCACAACGGCTAGCAGCAGTGAGCTTGCTCAAAAGTGTCATGCCCCCACGCATTCTTGGGCCTGACTCATGCTGGCGCACGAGGTGTGTTCACACCACAGGTGCGCAGCTATATTAGCTAAACCTACTCGGGACGTCTTACTAGCGACATGCATGTGTAAGACTGCCCATTGCCTCATAAAGCTCTATTAGACCCCGCAGGCTGCGCAAAAGATGGCTTCTTGTCGATCTTGCTTCTTCAAACACGAGGAAGGTTTCGCGAATTGAGTGTGCGTGCATCCAGACTTGTCAATAGCGAGTGCGATGTGCGTTGTCCCTGCCTGTTCACTTTGGTGACTTGTGCAGCATGCAGCGACGTGAGAGAGCGTTCTTGTCTCACGCCACAGCTTTTTGCCCAGTCGTGAAGTGTCGGGGCCTAGTGACCAGTGATTGTCGACACCCACCTTCTCCGCCCTTGAAACAGTGGGGTGTTACCGTCGCGTCCGCGCGACCTTTGTGCTGGAGCGAACAGGACGACTTGCAACGCCTCTCTGTTTCGTCGACTGTATGCTGTAAGCCCGGAATGCCGGCGCTCGACCGCAAGCTTTGAAAAGCCTGGTGCCTGCCCTAGTTTCTCAAAGTCTAAGATTGAAGCCGTGTTTAGTATCTAGCCCCGAATCGAATAAGGGTTGTACTGTGCTGTGCTGGTTGGAGGCATTCTGAAGAATGTTTGTTGAGGATCTTGCAGCCGTTATTTTGCATGCCAATGGTAACAGGCCTGTCCCATGGTTTGTAGCTGTAGCTGTGATGCACGCTGCGAGTGAAGTGAGACTAAAGTCGCCACGCAGTGTCTTTTGAAGGACATAACTGCATGGGCGCAGTCCTGTACCCGATACCAATGGTAGATTTTATGTGCGTCTTGGAAATCAATCCAGTGTAGACATCAGTCTTGACCTGCTTCCTGCCAGAATGGCTGATGTAACAGACAGCATGACGCTGGTCTGAATTGGCGGACATAATGACATAATGCTTCACAGATTAGCAAGGGCGTATGACATGCCGTCTGGGATAGCAAGTGTGTCATGGTGCTGGGACGTTTGCGAGCCGTGGAGCTTCACTTGAGGCTCGATGGTGTGATCAGTGGGTCAGATCACACTGATGCATTTCCGCCAACTGCGCCACTTGCGGAGCGCTTGCGGAGCTTGCTGCTTCTTCCAGGTTCCCCAACACATATGCATCGAAAGTCGGGAAGACTTCTGATGGCATGTATAAGGTGCGGCCAAGGGGGCATATCAGCGTTTGTAAGAACCGCGTGCAATGGGCTTCTGGTTGGTTTGCAGTTGTGTGAAAATGTGTTGCATTTGATTGTGTCTCAGTCTCGCTCGCTGCCAGCGCAAAGTGTCTCGTGCATGAAGAGACGTCGCAAGTCGCTTGTTGACTTTGCTGCCAGGTGACAGAGTGGGCTTAGCAGTCACTTGCAGCTTGCAGATGCTTGTAGTGCACGCGTGCCGGCTCCGGCTTTGCGCTCATATACTTACCGCGAAACCTTGCGCGGACAGGTTGCTATGGGCCGGACGGTCTTTTATCTTTATCTGACGTTACGAGCAGCCTGGTGCTTGGGTGTTCTTAGCGGGGGTAAGCGGGGAGTATGTGCGTTGCTGGTGCCTAGTCCTGCGCCTGTTTGCGTTCCTGCAAGCTGGCATGCTGACCCGGGTAGGCTTCGTAGAGCAGCAGCTTGCTGTTTTTTGTAAGTCGGCGAGGTGATGGCTCCTTCGTTGGTGCAAAGCAAATGGGTGGATCGATGTTTGTGAAAGGCAGTATGCAGGAACGTAGCAGTTGTCCAAGATGACGTACAAATGCTAAGAACAACCCTTACAGCGCATAAACCTGGCCATCGAACTGAAGTGCTTCCTGCGACTCCCGTGTCACCGTGTCACCTTGTTGCGTATGCTAGATCTGTGTGTCGGAATGTAACTAGCGATTGTTGTTCAACACTGTTGCCGTGAGGCCTGCTTCTCCAGCTACATGTCCATGATGTGCTCTTCGATATTTCCTCGCTGCACGACTTTTGGCTTGCAAATAGCGACTTTGCGTTGTGCATGTAGACTATAGAACTGAGACATGGCTTTTTCGTTTAGGTGTGCAATGAGACCAATTGGCAAGGGCCGGGGTGCCCTGAGGTACATTTGGTGTGCAACAGCTGTGCTCAGGACGCCTTTCAGCAGAGCAGAGTTTTCGCCTGTTGGTGGCCGCGTGCCTATGTGCCGTTGCCTTACACATCCTGCGTGCGATCAGTGGTCTTTAGGTGCTGTAGCGGCTTCTTGGGGTTACGTGTTATACTGCCTGCTTCCGACTCGGCGTTGTTGTCGTTGTTTCTTTCTGCTGCGACTGAGGCTTTCCTTTGTGCATCCTGCCACTGGTGCTTTGCCCAGGGTGCGCTATTTTCCGGATCAGCAGCAGAAGCACTTCTCTGCTTGTCGAATCTATTGAATCTACTGGCAGGTTGTGGCTGGACGATATCATTGGGGTATGCTCCATGGTGTCTTGGCTGCCGGACTGTCGCAAAGATGCCATCTACTGTAGCGTCTCGCCACGGTCGTGATGTGTTTCCAGGTATCTGTTCCCCCGCTTTGTACTGTTGCATTTTTTTGGTCCTGCGCTCAGTGGTGAGAGGCGTGGATATCTTATAGTTCTCATAGTGCGTCGGTGTTTGACCGCGCGACTCGTGCTGGATGACCATAGGCGCACTGCTGTAGTGACATGCAGCCGCCGTGGGCAAACAACCGACCACGATTCGTGTGCTGTCATACTCAGGAACGTGTGGAGGGCTCCGCCGCAGGTGTGGTTTCCTGTTGCTGCTATACTTTCTATTTGCTTGTCATGAAGTAACCTGGCAGCTTTTGCAGTACCAATCTTTTGATGACGCAAACCCTTTTCCGCGAGAGTGTCCACCCGCCGACTACAGTGACAACAGCTTAGACGGCCCGGAAAACCCGCGACTCTATGATGACAACGCTGCCGCCATTCGGCAAAGTGTTCTCGGACAAGAGCAGGAGATCTTGCTTGGGACTGCCCTTTCCACTGGTGTGGGTGGGCAGCCGACGATGGCATCGCACGGTGGCCTTCGCAAGCCGCTTCGTTCAGGTGCTCTTGTGCCTGAACGGCAAGGCGAGGGTGCAGGATTGAGTGCAGACACTGCAGATGTGGAGGAGGTGGACATGGAGGAAGTGGAACAGGGGCTGGAGGAGAGCAGTGAGGGTGCAGTGGCAGGTGCACCGAGCAGTCATGCAGGTGAGCTGCCGGTTGTCAAAGTGTGAAGTTTCAAGCGTTGTGTCGTTGAAACACTGACTTGCCGTCTCGAGAGCCACCAAGGTGGCAGTCGCACTGGCGGACGGAGCATCTTAGTCGAAAGATCGATGTCGGGTAGGCGCAATGCCTTGAGTATGACAGTGTATGGCTTTACAAAAGCTAGACAACTGGAACGTTCCGTGTGTGTGCACAGTTGATTCCTACGTGGGGGCTCATCCCTATGGCCAGGATTCTCACGGGATTGTCTGCAGTGTCCCTAAGTAGCGCAGGAACCGCGCCCCGTGACTCCTACATGAACCAAACTCAAGCCAAGCAGCTTCGGGTGTAAGTGTTAATACCATTATTGTCGTTAATCACTTCACCATGTTTCAGTGTGCAGCTTTGACTGGCTGCTTGTGTCTGGCGTTGGAATGCCTTCTGACTTCACAAAGACCTTGCGTCCCATGTCACGGTAGCTTTGTGCGCGGTTGGGGGTAAATGCGGGTAGGGTGATGACGGGCCGGGGCTTGAGTAGGTTGTGAAGCCGCGCGTTGGTCGGCTCTGTTTTGCTGTTTTCCGTGACAAGCGATCTTTGCTGAGATATCCCTCCCTGTTGGATTGTTTGCAGCCTCATGTGGCTGGTTTGCTTCCCCGGCGTGAGGCAGCAATTGAAGTGCGTAAAGAGCCCATGGCCCATGCGATCCGGACATAAAAGAAGGGAAACCAGGGATAAAAGAAAGGTGTACCTGGCGCATCGATCGTGTGTGCTACAGCCCCCACGGTGTGTCATGCGGAGTTTTAGCAATGTGCACGTCAGCTCGGAGGTGCACTCTTAGGACTTAAGAAGTCGGAAAGCCTGCCTCGTCAAACGAAGTTGCCTAGCAACGACTCACTGGTCCTACTTCAAGTTCGTTATTTGCGGAGAATCCCAGGCAGAAAACCTGTCGAGCGAGGACGATCGTACACAGACTTTTTGTTCCGGGTGTTTGGAACATCGCCGGGCTGGAACGACGGCATCATAGCGGCGTAGCGCCAGTTTCAGGGCCATTCATTGTGCAAAGATTGCTCTGAAGAATCTTTGCGGCAAGAAAATTAGCTCTGAGTTTTCTTGAGTGATTTTGGAGGACTGCGGCGTAGGCCATGCAATTGGTGCTTGGAGGTGTCGCGTTGCTTGTTCTGGGTGTTGGGGCGCAGCTGAGCGACGACCTGTCGCGAGAGCAGCTGAAGCCTTTGACGGCGTTCCGCCAGCAACATCGTCGCTTGGTTCGCTGTTTGATCCAGGTGACTGACTCTTGGGTCTGAAAACTTGGTGCACACGTGGTTTTTGCAGGTGGATGGTCGG